CATTTTGAAAAGTCAACAAAAACACCTTTTAGGTCAAAGCTTCATACATGAACATGGAATACTCAATTGAGATGAGACCAAAATTATTTCTTAGAGGACATCCTAAGCTTTCTAAAAAGTCCAAGAACACATCTCTAGGGTCAAAATTGAGGGAGTTATGCATTGGCCAAGTTGACCCTTTTTGCAAAATTGCCAAAAGTCAAATGTGTCCAAAATTGCATTTTTTGCTAAATGGGCCCAACTTTTTATGCTTGCACTGAGTTTGTAATGTGATCCACGACCCATGAGCCCTTCCACTTGTCATTCTTTTATTTTTGTTATTTATTTTGATTTTATTTCATTTAAATCAAATAAAATCAATATAAAATAATGAAAATATCAAAAACTAATTAAATCTTGAGATTTTGTGCATGATTAGGTCCATTACACAGCTGGAGACAAAATCAAATCGTGCAAGGCTTCATATGGACACAAAAAGATTGAATTTTCTTGTTTTGAAAAGATTTGGTGCAAGGATTAAATCATGGATCAATTTTCATAATTGGAAAAGATTTGATACAAACTTGAACCCTAATACACTCTAGTATACATAAGGAACAAATGCAGACCAAAAGGAAGAGGCTAGAGGCGTGCAAAGGCAGAGAACAAATTGCAAAAACTCAAGAAAAAAGTGCAAACCAATTTCCAAGTTTCAGGCCACCTCAAGCCATTCTAACCAACCAATCAATTGCTGGACTCCCCGGGATCGTGTTTCAATCGTTAGCAAGCTTCCCCATGCCTTGAAACGCATCGTAGCAGTCACACGGTTTGCATATTTTCTTGAATTCAAATATATTGATTCTGGCATATTTAGCATGATTGATTGGCATATTTATAATCCTTGAGATGTTTGCAAGCTAATGACTATATTCAATTGCATTTTTATTGACTGAACATGAAACTACCATGGCTAGGGTTCGTGCTTTATTTTTAGGGGTTTCTTGTACAGGGAAAATTGGACATTCATAATGGTACCATGATGCTCGTGAGGTTGAAACGAGTTGATTGGTACCATTGGTTTTCATTTATCACGCGTATATAAGATTTTGGAAATGCACAGGGGCTATACCTACGCTTGATGTCCGTAGGTAAAAGTCTTTTATCTAAAACGACGGAATCAATGAACAAGACAATGGCGTGGCAGTGTGTGAATGGTCAGTTTGAATTTCGTGTGTTTTGGGAGGCGTGGCACGTTGTTTGCATTATAGTTTATTTGTTTCATTATTATTACAACTAACATGATAGCGCAGATGGTGAGGTTGTTGGCCTTTGATGCACACGTCCTGGGTTCGATCCCAGGCGTGTGCATTTTATTATTTTCTCAATAATTTCAGGATAATCCAGTGGTTCACATTCTCAAGCGTATCCCATGCACTCTCCATATCAGTCACCTAATGTACTCATGGCCAGATCCAATGTGCCCACAATGAAGGTCCACCATGCGCCTGAGTCAAGCATGCACACATGATTGGGAGAAGTCAACAAGGCCTAGACTTGTTGGGCCAAGAATTTCCAAGCAACACCCCCATTTTTCACTAATGCTATCAGGCCCATTCCTTTCTTTTCTCTATTTTTTCTTTTTTTTAATTTAATTTGCTTAATTATTTTTAACAAAATCAATTTCCTTTTTTCACAAAAAAATCATAAAATCAAGAGTTTACAAAAATTAGAATTAGTTTGTTTTTTTTATCAAATAATTTAGTTTAATTTAATTTAGGGAAATTCTAGCTTTTTTTATATAATTAAAATCAATTAGAAAAATTAGGGTTAGACTTTTGATTTAATTTTTATTTCTTTCTCAAAATAAAAATACAAAAATAGGTTAATTTAATTATTTTTCTTAAATTAAAATTAATTAGTAATTAGGTTTTTTTTTTATTATTCAATTGAGCTTTATTTTCTCCAAATAATCAAAAACGACAAAAAAATGATTTTCCCTTTAAGTTGCAATTAGGTTTAGTTGGGGTCAAAACCCTAATTATCTTGTATTCAATTCATCGCGCGTTTTTTATTATTCTTTGCAATATTGATGTAACTCTCCACGGTATGTAATAGTTTAATCTAGGACTTTCTTTTAATTATCGTCTTTTACGAGTTTTTTAGCTATGTAATTAATCCCTACCCCAAAGCCTTGTAATAGCTTAGGTTTTATTTCCTCGCATTTTAATTCTCGCAAATATTAACTGTTTAGATGTATGTTGATAGGATTGTATGACAAGATTGCATGATAATTTAAAACGGCTAGAATACCCTAATGTGTAAAGATAATAACTGAAATCAAATCACTTGCACATGCGCACTCTTAGGGTATGCTCTCACTTCGGTTGCCTTCGGTAAACAATCATTAAGTATAAGGTGTCTTAGTGGTTGCCCTCCTGTCTAACAAAGATCAAAAGTCCCGTTCGGAAACGTCGCCTCGGAAATGTTGCCTCGGAAATGTTGTCTCGAATACGATCTTAAGACTTTAGGGTTATTACTAAGACGTCCTAACATTGCTTTAGTGATCGTGCGTCCCTTACGAATTGACCCTTACAACTCCAACGACGGTGCTACCTATTTCTCAATAGTAGGATAGCGCTGTCTAAAGGAAACGAGAATAGAAACAATCCTTTTTCGAGTAGGTACTCAAATCAAACTTTTCACACTTACACTTTTCAAACAAAGTTTTCAAAAATAGCTTCGTAACACTCTTGAGGACTGATACAAGGGTTGGTTATCACGAAGTCAAACTTTTCATAACAAGGTCACACAAGCAATTTCAAAATGAGCAAGTACCTAAGAGCCCATGGAAAACCATGGATAGAAAGGGTGCTAACACCTTCCCTTTCTATAATCTACTCCCCGTACTCAGAATATCTCGAAAAAATGATTTTTTTTCTGTGCTTTTTTCCTTTCCGGTTGGATGAAATAAAAGTCGGTGATGACTCTTGCTTACCGCGACATTTTGCGAATACAAAACGCGAACCAGCATTTCAAAACAGTCGGTTCTACCACCGTATCACACCCCCATCTCACTTTCAACCTTAGCTCGACATAAGACATTGACGATCTATTCTGGTTAGGTACGATCATATAGAAAAGCTAAATTTGAATATTTTTAATTGCATTACAATATATATTTATATGTTACCTACACGAGTTTAAATTGAGAAATAAATTGATATCGATATTTGAACATTTTAAAATGACAAAATTATATATAAGTTCACTAACTTTGTGTAATAAAAAAATTGTTACTTTTTTATCTCTATTTTATTATTTATTTTAAAATAAATCTACCCCTTAATTAAAATGAATATTTTTGCCTTTTTAATTTAAAAGTAATTAAAATAAATTTAATTATTTTATTTTATTTTTTTATCAAACTTGATATTCTAATTTTGTATCATTATTAATATTATTTTTTACTAATAAAAAATATTTTTTATTTTGTTTTTATCAAAATTATTTTAAATATTATATTTCCCATCTCTATTATATTATTTATTTTGAAATAAATGTGGAAGAAATCAATAAATTTGCATTTTTTTATTTAAAAGTAATTAAAATAGATTTATTTTATATCATTGGAATTAGTATTAGTTATAAATTTATTTTTGTATTAAATGTGTCATAAATTACTATTATTATTTTCAATCAAATTAAAATAATATAATCTTAATTTAGTATGTCACAATCAAAGTAGATGGTTATGCATTCTACTTCCAACTTTTAATAAAAATTTAAACTTTCACTATGCTGTATGAATACAACACTCAAAAAACATCATCACTATTTGTATTTATGGCTAAACCCCATCACCTTATTTTTAATTTTGTTACATTTTAAAAATTATAACTATGCTTGACGGGTCGAATCTATTTTTTGTATCATTAAAAATGTAAGAATATAAATAATTGAGTTTTTATTTATTCTTTTGTAAATAAATTAAAAAATTAAATTTGTTATTTAAGAGAGTCACAACAAGAACAAAGATAAAAAATAAGGATAAAATCATGATATAAATTTAAAATATTAATTAATTAATTTACTTATCAAATTCAATTTTATTTTATTTTTTACAATTTACTTATCACATTCCATTTTTAAAATTTTTCAACAGTTATTATTTGTCCGAAATTTGTCAGAGATTTGTTATAAAATTTAATTGTGTTAAATTTATTTTCTATTAGATGATAAAATCGTATAATATCAAATAAGATTCATAAATTTACAATACAAAAGAATTTAAAAATTATAGACATGTCTGAGGACCGAATTTATTTTTCTGACGGAACAAAATATTTATTTAAATTAAACAGATATTAGAGATAATATGTTTAATGACTTCTGAATTACTATATCATATAACTTCTAAATTACTATCTTTATTTAATATTTATAACAATATTGCACAATCATGTAAACGCACGGGTAAATATTTATATCGATTTTACGCGATCGTGCAAACGCACGAGTCCTATACATTTTTTAACAATTATTATACTATCTTTATTTATTATTTATAACAATATTGCACAAACATGTAAACACACGTGTACATAATCAGTTTTATAGACATGTGAAGTGTATTAGACCATATAGTCATATATTTTTCAACATAATTTCTATATATATATTTTGACAACTAATACAACTTAATAAATTAAATTAAAAATTTATGTGACAATCATAATAGAAAGTTTTTTTTTTATTATATATATTAACTATAATTATATAATATTTATTTAATATTTATACCGATTATACACGACTCGTGCAAACGGACGGGTCTTTTACTAGTTTATGTAAAAGTTAGTTAAATAATAAATTTCCGTGTAAAAATCATGAATAATCAATTCTAAAGGCATAAGTTATAAATTCTAGTTTCAAGTAGAATTAATTCTAAAGTTAAAATCAATTTTACTTTTAATATATTAAACACTTTAAAATTACCTAGAGTCAATTCTACACCTTTATAATTAATTCCGTGAGTAGTAAAAACCAATCCAAACACGCACTAAAGTATCAGACTTTTCAATGCAAACAATCATCCAAATTAATAACCAACCACAGAAAGTCTTAGAATGAATTCCAAACACTTCTGGTGTATGAGTATAGACTAGACATATAGTTTCCCTATGGTAGGGAATGATAAATTGATACCTCTTACATGGTTCAAGATGCCATAATCCTAAAATAAAAGTTATGTTCCTTTCCCAATCATTTATTTTTTGCATTTTCTTCTTTTTTATTTAAACTATAGGAAGATTTGCACAATGATCCAACCTTCTTTAGGACATGCCATTTTGTGTGGAGTAGAATCAAATTTCAAAAGTTGGAATGTCGGATGTAGGACCGTGTGTAGCTTGGTATAATGACCGAGTCAATATACTTCTATAGGGATCCCTTTCTCGTTTCTCCTTCAAATAAGCAATACATCTCTCTACCTCGGCTTTCACTTCAAAATATAATTCTTGAGATTTGTCCTTGTCCTTACGTTCCTGTTTCCTTCCTGTCAAACAATATCTCAAATTTTACCACCACATTTTAGTTTATTCCAAGTTGAGAAATATGCATTGGGCATTACCTTCAGTTTCAATTGGTTTTCCAAAATAATAGTAGAACCGGCCCGGAACTTTAGGCAAAATTCCAGGCAAATACACTTGTTGGTTTTCCACCTCACCACCAACACCAGCCCTAGTTTAACAATGTAGCGAAGATGGAAAAAGGAAAGTATATACAAAATGGTATGAATCAACAAAAGGCAAAGATAGATACCTCAACTGCACAGCCTCATTGGTAAGGTTTTCTATTTCAGATCTAAGGTAAGGAATCTTCACCAAGTCATCACAATCAAACAACATCTGAATAGAACGATGAGATATGGTGTTGTAGCATTCAGTATAGCATATATGTTAGATATATTTTTAAATAAAATAGTTATAGAATATTGTTGAAACCACTATGTTATAACTTATAATTTTAAGAGATTATATCTAATTATTTATATTTTATATACTTTAACTGATTATATCTATTTAATTATAATTTATATATTATAAAATATAAAATTTAGCTAATATTAACGAGTTTCATATTAGGTTGTAAAAGATTTTTTTTAAAACTCCTTACAATTTTTAAATTTCCTCAAATATTTTTAAATCTTATTTTTTACTATTTAAAATAAAATTTGAAATGAATCATTTCATAATAGGCTTGTGGCCCATTAACTCTAAGCCTGTTTTTAAGTCATTGATACACCATCCTCCTTTAAAGCACCAACAACACCAACTTCGATTCACTGTTCATCGTCACCTTCGAAAACTCAACTTACACCAATTCACGAGGGAGACTAACAAGCAATACAGTGATGGAAAATGCATGTGATACTCTAGCATATTGTTTCTACTTCATACAAAGCGTGTCACCCTGAGTGAGTTGATAGTTATAGTTGGTTAATTAGGCACCCCACATTTTTAATTTGAATCAATCAAATCATGACTCACAAGCCTTACTCTATATTTTCTACTTCAGTAATATCACTTGAGAGGATATTTAAAAATCAAAATTTCATGCTTTATTCGATAGATAAATGGAGGGAGAATAATATTGATATCAAAATATAAATATACCGCGATAAAATCAGATCAAAATCAAACCAAACCAATAAAATCAAATAATAATTGATTTGGACATCAGATTTTAAAAAATCTATTTGCGAATCTGTCTATCAAAATCAATCATATTAATTCATATAATTTATATCAACATTATTATGAAAACTAAAATAAGATATTTAATTTCAAGAAGAAAAAAATATGAAATATCATTTGCGACAATCTCAATCTATATGAAAAGACAGAGAAAATTAAAATTTTATATTATTATAGAAAATTAATTATTAAAAATTATATATTTTTTAAAAATATTTTTGCACATTTGTTTTTAATGTACTCATCAATTCAATCCATTATTTTTTTTATTTGAATCGATTTGAGTTTTATTGAAAAAATATGAAAATGCAATCAAAATCGGTTGGAAATCCACCAATACTCTGATGAATTTCGACCACCACTGATGATTAGTTATGACAAACAAATAAAAGAACAATGGAGATATTTCTGCAGAATTTCTATTATGCTCACAAACTGTGGAATCTTTATTAATTCACTTTGCAACTGCAAAATACTGTGAATGACTTGATTACAAAATAGGGGTTACTCCCTCTATTTATAAATTTAGGTTAGCTTGCTCCCTAAGCTAAACCCAAGCCCAAAATATCTCTTTACTAAATCAAATCTAATCTAGATTTAAATTTAAATCTATTTAAATCTAAACAAATCAAATCTTCTTTTGACACATATGAATTACAATTTAACACACCACATAATTCATTGTGTCTAAACTGTCTATATTCATCATGGTCCTTAGCTTTCTGAATACTTCGACCTGCACTCCCTTCGTCATGATGTCTGCAATCTGATTCTCAGTTCTGCAGTGTTCCAAATTCATCTTCCCATCTGCTACCTGCTCTCGAAGATAATAGAACCTCATTTCGATGTGCTTACTTCGACCATGTGCTATTGGGTTCTTCGCCAGATTGATAGCTGACATACTGTCTATCTTCATGGTAATTACTCCATGATTTTTCCCTGTTATCTCTTCGACCAAGTTCACCATCCAGGTTGCTTGACATGCACAAAGAGAAGCAGCTATGTATTCTGCTTCGCATGATGATAATGCCACTACTGGTTCTTTTCTCGAACTCCAAGCAATTGTTGCACCACCTAGCATAAACACATATCCTGCTGTTGACTTTCGATCTTCAGCATCACTACACCAACTCGAATCAGTGTATCCCACTAACTTGCATTCTTTTCCTTTATCAACTGCAGGAAACAAAATGCCATAACCGAAAGTTCCTTTAAGATACCTTAGTATCCTCTTCACAGCTGCTAGATGTGATACCTTTGGCTTCTGCATGAATCTACTTACCATACCTACACTGTATGCTAAGTCAGGCCTTGTATGACAAAGGTATCTCAATGATCCAATAAGTCTTCTGTATTGGGTTGGATCAACATCATCTTCATCAGCATCTTTCGACAGTTGCAGTCTTGGTTCTGCAGGTGTCGAAGTTACGTTGCATTCTTCCATCTCAAACCTTTTGAGAATTTCTCCTGCATATCTTCTTTGATGCATCATCAAACCTCTACTGCTTTTGTAGAATTCGATCCCAAGGAAGTATGAAATTTCACCCAAATCAGACATTTCGAATTCCTTACTAAGGTCAACTTTGAAGTCTTCGATCTCAACCTTGCAGCTACCTGTTATCAACAAATCATCTACATAGAGACATAGTATAAGCAATTTACTCTTGCTTCTTCTTACATATACTCCATGTTCAGTTATGCACTTCACAAATTCCTTCTCCCTTAGAAAACTATCAATTTTCTTATTCCAAGCCCTTGGAGCTTGTTTCAAACCATACAGGGCTTTATGTAGCCTGTACACCTTTCTTTCTTCGTCATGTTTCACAAACCCAACTGGTTGTTTAACATAGACTTCTTCATCTAAGGGTCCATTTAGGAATGCACACTTCACGTCCATCTGACATATGTGCCAACTGTTGATTTCTGCTAGACCAACAACCAGCCTGATTGTTTCGATCCTAGCAACAGGTGCAAAAACTTCGTCGAAGTCTATTCCTTCTTTTTGTAGAAATCCTTCGCCACAAGTCTTGCTTTGTGTCGAGTTACTTCACCTTTCGAATTCGTCTTCACTTTGTATACCCACTTGACATCAATTGCCTTCTTGCCTTGAGGCAATTCGACAAGTGACCAAGTGTTGTTGTCTTCGATAGACTTTACTTCTTCGTTCATTGCTTTCACCCACTTCGAATCCTTTAATGCTTCAGCTGCATTAACAGGTTCGACATCTGCATAGAAAGCATAATGTACTAGCTCACCTTCATCATCTATCACATCATCTGATGTAATCACACAATCTTGCAATCTTGCAGGCATGCGTCTTGTTCTTTGAGGTCTGCTTGTACTGGGTATATCTGCTGGCTCCTCTTGTCGAACTTCTCTTTCGACTTGAGTTTCTGGCTTTTCGAATAAGATTCCCACTGAATCTTTCTTGACATTTGCAGTCCAATCCCATTCTTTGAACTCATCTATGATCACGTCCCTGCTGATCACAATCTTCTTGTTCTCTGGATCGAACAACTTGTAGCCTCCCGTCGAATGATATCCAACTAGGATCATTTAACTTGACTTGTCATCAAGTTTCTTTCTCAACTGATCTGGCACATGTCTATGTGCAATAGATCCAAATACTTTCAGATGACTTAGGCTAGGCTTCACACCAAACCAACATTCTTCTGGAGTAATTCCTTCTAGCTTCTTTGTAGGACTTCTGTTCAAAATGTATGTTGCAGTCGAAACAGCTTCACCCCAGAACTCTTTGGGTAAATTCTTGCCTTTCAACATACTTCTCACCATGTTCATGATGGTTCGATTTTTCCTTTCTGCAATTCCATTTTGCTGTGGAGTATAGGGTGGCACCATCTCATGCACAATCCCTTCTTTTTCACATAATCTGTCGAAGTCTTTCGACACATATTCTCCTCCACCATCAGTTCTCAAAACTTTGAGTTTTCGTCCACTTTGTCTTTCGACCATAGACTTAAACCTGGTGAATACTTCGATCACTTCACTTTTCCTTTTGATCAGGTAAGTCCATAGCTTTCGACTGAAATCATCTATGAATGTAACAAAGTATTTGTTACCTCCCATCGAATCCACCTGGATTGGTCCACATACATCAGAGTATATGATTTCGAGACTAGCCTTCGATCTGCTTCCTGCATCCTTGCTGAAGCTATTCTTGTGTTGCTTCGCCTGCACACATTCTTCACGTACTTCGCATACTTCATTTGGAATGTCAATTTCAGGCAATCCTGAAACCATATTTCTTCTCTTCAAATCTCTGATGTCTCTGAAGTTGAGATGACCTAGTCTATAATGCCATATCCATTCATCTCTGCTAGCTGCAGTCGAAAGGCACTTGTGCTCCATCACATTTAGTTCAATCTTGAAGGTTCGATTCTGAGACATAGGAGCCTTCAAGATTAATCTCCCATTTGCATCAACGACTCTCATCAACTTATCTTCGATTGACACTTTATAATTCTTTTCGACCAACTGCCCTATACTGAGAAAATTGCTCTTCA